GCATCAGTCGTTCCTACGGAGGACCCACTAATAGCTTCGGAGGTTCTGGAGGAGGAGGCGGGTCCTTCGGAGGAGGATCCTTCGGGGGAGGATCCTTTGGAGGAGGTTCTGGAGGAGGAGGCGGGTCCTTCGGAGGAGGATCCTTCGGGGGAGGATCCTTTGGAGGAGGTTCTGGAGGAGGAGGCGGGTCCTTCGGAGGAGGATCCTTCGGGGGAGGATCCTTTGGAGGAGGTTCTGGAGGTGGCGGTGGAGGAGGAATAAGTACCAGTTATGGAGGACCAACCAATAACTTCGGTGGAGGAGGAGGAGGCGGTGGGTCATTTGGGGGAGGTGGATCCTTCGGAGGAGGATCTTTCGGAGGTGGTGGCGGATCCTTCGGTGACGGCTCCTCTGGAGGAGTAAGTACAAGTTACAGCGGACCAAGGGCCAGCTTCGGAGGAGGTGGCCGTGGATCTGTCGGAGGGGGCAGAGGATCCTTCGGCAGAGGGTCCATCGGAGGAGGATCGTTCGGCGGAGGCGGCGGTCGTTTCGGTGGCGGGTCTTCTGGCGGAAGGGGCGGCGGAAGAGGATCCTTTGGCGGGGGAGTGAGCAACACTTACAGTGGCCCAAGCAATAATTTCGGAGGCTCTGGTGGAGGCGGTGGAGGAGGGTTTGGAGGAGGATCCTTTGGCGGCGGAGGCGGCGGGTCTTTCGGTAGTTCAGGCGGCGGTGTGTCTGGCAGTTACCTGCCGCCCTCCGGGAAATAACTGTATCTACAGGAGAAACACATGTTCTATTGAATGAATGTAATGGATGTTGAGAATAAATAATTTAACAATCAAGCGATTTTTTGTCGTTAATATATGAAAAGTAACGAGAACAAGACATATTCTCGATACCGTAATGGTAATAATATTACGGGTAATGATAATGCTATTGATATATGATATAAGGAATGCTAATATAGCCTCCGGGCTAGTTCATTGGTAACGGGTCGGCCTCTCATCCGAGGGGTCAGCGGTTCGCGCCCCGCCCTGGCGCGAGAAGTTGCAATTGTCGCCTGGAGGTTACTGCTGTGGCAAATCAATAGCCTCCTCACATAAACTAGCATCAGAGGGTGTGGTTCATGCGGACTTGAAGCACAGAACACTCACTATCTTCTGCGAAGCCGTCAATGTATTTTAACGAAATAAACAATAGGATTACCTAGAATATCTTATATATTTTTTAAACATTGTACTATGCACTATTTGCATAAGCGTGAATACATACGTAAGTATATGTGGGTACATTAGATCAATAGATATAAATTATTGTTGTACACTATTTACATGAGGCTAAAGAGATACATAAGCATAAGCGTCTATGCGCGCCCATATATAAATCTATGTGTGAACACAGACAAACACACACACATACATATATATGTATATATATATATATATATATATATATATCATGTGTCTGCTTGTGTATGTGTTTGTGTTTTTTTATGTGTATACCTATACGCGCGTGTGTATGTCCGTGTAGGGATATGTGTGTGTGTTCGTTTGTGCGTGTGTCTGTACGTGTGTGAGTGTGTTTATGTGTGCGTTTATCTTGCTGAAGCACAAATATACATACATATTTTTATATGTATATGTATATGTATATATATATATATATATATATATATATATATTATATATATATATATACTGGTTTATTTACTTACGTGTGTGGATATGTATGTACTGGACTGTATCCCATTCATTGCAACGCAAGTAAGTTAACCCATTCGCCTCGGATTTATGTTCTGTCCCCTGTAGTTTTTGGGGAATTTTGTTACATACAGATGGCTCCACATGTGCTCAGCCGGCAAGGAGTCTATCAGTAGACCCTAGCTACCGATCCTGATTTTCCCATTCATTCTATTGGCGGGATAATTAATGCCATTGCTATCGATACTGTTATTATTGTTATTGATGTTATGGTTATTAAATTGCCATTAGAATAATTTACACAATGAAATGATACAAAAGAAAAGCTTTCCTAAATTGAAGGAAAAGAGTAAACAGGTGAAATAGGTAGTTCTTGATAACTGGCTATTGGGTGATTAAGAACTTGTGGAGACATCTATGTGTAAATACAATAAATAAACGTGTATCAAAATGGGTATAGCATCTATTCTTGCCACGTGGGGCGAATGGGCTAATGAATATTTTTTGCGTGGGTCGATATTTCCAGGCAAACAAGCGGGAATGTCTTCACATGGATTTGTGTGGATGGGCATGCGTGTTTTGGGGCGAGCGGATATTTCACTACTGGTGTTTCCATGCACATTTAAGTGTGGCGAAATATAATACCTGATTATTTTTCATTTAGCACATTTGTCAGTAGCTGGCATTGGCGCTTAATACTATCTTTCTGCTGATGGAATTTACTTTTTAAAATCTTTTATCTTTTAATACTGAAAGCCTTTTACCAGAATGCAGGTCCTACTCAGGAATCAAAAGTTTATTATTCACAGTCAACATTCTGAACTAGAAAGAATGTTAATTCTTATCCCATTCTTCTCGTCCATCCCTAATTGACCCCATGGTTTCCATCCTTAATTGACCCCTTGGTTTGACCGCTTTCCTGGCAAGGCTGCTAGAAGTGGATCCTGCATGTGTTCCCGCAGCATCTGTGTAGTATAAGTACACTTCATTCCTGGCAATAAATTGCCTACATTTGGCCTTGTTCCTTGGCGTTAATGCTACATATATGGAAAATAAATAATCGCCAGTTCATCATCAAATTTGCGACGTTTATGTACACGTTGGGTACGATATTCGGCTCATCAGTAGATCATTAGTAGTGATGCATAAGACTTATAAGATATGGTCAGTCTAATTCTTACCTTTCAACATTAAATGTAAGAAGGGGAATATTCGCTTGCCTAAACAAACGAGCAGGAAAATTTCCACCTGCACGAAACTTCAAACGGAAAAATGGCGCTTGTGTGTATGTGTGTATGTGTGTGTGTCCATATCCACAGTGATCACTGTCATCTACAACGATGTTGCTTGACCTTAAAATGAAAATCACGGTGTATATAAGATCACCTCCTTTGCACAGCCTCAGTATCATCTCTCTTATGCATGATGGTAAGACCTCTGCGGCAGAGTGAATATTGATTTCAATTCTTATAAAAAAAGTTTCATGTTTAGTATGTCCTGCATATTGATAGGTAAAAGGGTTCTCAAATTACATCTCAGATAAGGCAAGATACCCTGTTGCTTTCAGAGACGGAGTGCGTTGGTGGTGTTGGGCTTGCTGGTCGGTTCGGCCTACAGCAGCTGCCTCGGCGGAGGCTGTGGGGGAGGATCCTCTGGTGGCATCAGCCGTTCCTACGGAGGACCCACTAATAGCTTCGGAGGTTCTGGAGGAGGAGGAGGATCCTTCGGGGGAGGATCCTTTGGGGGAGGATCCTTCGGAGGAGGATCCTTCGGGGGAGGATCCTTTGGAGGAGGTTCTGGAGGTGGCGGTGAAGGAATAAGTAGCAGTTATAAAGGACCAACCAATAACTTCGGTGGAGGAGGAGGGGGCGGTGGGTCCTTTGGGGGAGGTGGATCCTTCGGAGGAGGATCTTTCGGAGGTGGTGGCGGATCCTTCGGTGGCGGGTCCTCTGGAGGAGTAAGTACAAGTTACAGCGGACCAAGGGCCAGCTTCGGAGGAGGTGGCCGTGGATCTGTCGGAGGGGGCAGAGGATCCTTCGGCAGAGGGTCCTTCGGAGGAGGATCGTTCGGCGGAGGCGGCGGTCGTTTTGGTGGCGGGTCTTCTGGCGGAAGGGGCAGTGGTTTCGGCGGCGGAAGAGGATCCTTTGGCGGGGGAGTGAGCAACACTTACAGTGGCCCAAGCAATAACTTCGGAGGCTCTGGCGGAGGCGGTGGAGGAGGGTTTGGAGGAGGATCCTTTGGCGGCGGAGGCGGCGGGTCTTTCGGAGGTTCAGGCGGCGGTGTGTCTGGCAGTTACCTGCCGCCCTCCGGCAAATAACTGCATCTACAGGAGATTATATTCTATCAAATGGATGTAATGAATTTTCTGAGAATAAATTATTTAACAATGGAACGATTTTTAGAGTCGTCAATATTTGAAAATTAACGAGAACAGGGAATATTCTCAATTTTGTAATGATAAAATAATATGGTTATTGATAATACTGATAATGTAAAATAATATGAATAATGCCAATATCAGTAATTATTACAATGAGTAATAATAATGGTGACAGTTATACACACACAGACATATATATACATATATATATATATATATATATATATATATATATATATATATGTATATATATGTATATATATGTATATATATATACATATATATATATATATATATACATATATTCTTTGTGAATATAATCAGAAAACTCCATAATATAAACACAGAAAACAGGTCAGCAGCATATTTAACAAAGGAAACCGACAAATCACTAGCCTAACTTTATTTATTTACGTGTGTGAATATGTTTGTACGTACTGGACTATACTCCAATAAGCCTCTGGGCTAGTACAGTGATTCCGAGTCGGCCTCTCATCCGAGGGGTCGGCTGTTTGCGCCCCGCACAGGCGCGAGAAGTTGCAATTGTCGCCTGGAGGTTACTGCTGTGGCTGGGCACCACGGCGGGTAAGGACGAAGCTCTGCCGAGTCAGCACCAGCTGACACACGATAGCGAGTCGGCATTAGTCAACACAACCCAGGCTCCCCACATGGACATAGCCCGGGCGAGGCTCAGCTTCGCTTATCCTTATGTATTCCAATTACGCAGGTAACTTAATTAGTGTTTTTTTGTGCGATATTTCCAGGCTTTTAGGTTTTGCGCAAGCTGGAATGTCTTTACATGGATTTGTGTATATGAGCATGCGTGTTTTGGTGCGAGCGGATATTTCACTACTGGTGTTTCCATGCACATTTAAGTGTGGCGAAATATTTTGATACTTGATTAATTTCATTTGGCACAGTTGTCACGAATTGGCATTCACGCTTCATAGTATAGTATCTTTAATCTTTTAGTAATATCCTTTTACCAGACTGCAGGTCTTACTCAAGAATGAAAACTTTTTTTTTCTATTCGTAATCAACATTCTGAACCGGTAATTATGTTAATTCAAATCCATTCTTCTCGTCCATCCTTAATTGACCCGTTGGTTTCCATCCTTAATTGACCCCATGGTGTCCATACTTAATTCACCCCTTGGTTTCCATTCTTAATTGACCCCGTGGATTGACCGCTCTCCTGGCAAGGCTGCTAGAAGTGGATCCTGTGTTCCCGCACCACCTGTGTAATCTAAGTAGACCTCATACCAGCCATTAATTTGCTTAGATTTGATATTGTTCCATGGAACAAAGAAAATCATTCATCGCCAGTTCATCATCAAATCCGCGATGGAGCTTGTTACCATCAGCAGAGGGGAAGACTCCTACACGCTGGGCACGATATTCGGCTCATTAATAGATCCTAAACAGTGATGCATAAGAGACTGATAAGATATTATCAATCTAATGCATACCTTTCAACATCAAATGTAAGAAGGGGAATATTCGCCTGCTTAAAAAAAAAAAAAAAAAAAAAAAAAAAAAAAAAACTAGCATGTGTGCGTGACCATATCCGCAGATAACAGTGATCATTGTCATCGAACACATTGTTACTTGACCTTAAAACGAAAATCACGGTGTATATAAGATCACCTCCTTTGCGCTGCATCAGTATCATCTCTCATATCCATGATGGTAAGACCTCTGCGGCAGAGTGAATATTGATTTCAATTCTTGCTAAAGGTTTCACAGTTTAGTATGTCCTGCATACAGATAGGTAAAAGGGTTCTCATATTACAGCTCAGGTAAGGCAAGATACCCTGTTGCTTTCAGAGACGGAGTGCGTTTGTGGTGTTGGGCTTGCTGGTCGGTTCGGCCTACAGCAGCTGCCTCGGCGGAGGCTGTGGTGGCATCAGTCGTTCCTACGGAGGACCCACTAATAGCTTCGGAGGTTCTGGAGGAGGAGGCGGGTCCTTCGGAGGAGGATCCTTCGGGGGAGGATCCTTTGGAGGAGGTTCTGGAGGAGGAGGCGGGTCCTTCGGAGGAGGATCTTTTGGAGGAGGTTCTGGAGGTGGCGGTGGAGGAGGAATAAGTACCAGTTATGGAGGACCAACCAATAACTTCGGTGGAGGAGGAGGGGGCGGTGGGTCCTTTGGGGGAGGTGGATCCTTCGGAGGAGGATCTTTCGGAGGTGGTGGCGGATCCTTCGGTGGCGGGTCCTCTGGAGGAGTAAGTACAAGTTACAGCGGACCAAGTACTAGCTTCGGAGGAGGTGGCCGTGGATCTGTCGGAGGGGGCAGAGGATCCTTCGGAGGAGGATCGTTCGGCGGAGGCGGCGGTCGCTTCGGTGGCGGAGGAGGATCGTTCGGCGGAGGCGGCGGTCGCTTCGGTGGTGGAGGAGGATCCATTGGCGGGGGAGTGAGCAACACTTACAATGGCCCAAGCAATAACTTCGGAGGCTCTGGCGGAGGACGGTGGAGGAGGGTTTGGAGGAGGATCCTTTGGCGGCGGAGGCGGCGGGTCTTTCGGAGGTTCAGGCGGCGGTGTGTCTGGCAGTTACCTGCCGCCCTCCGGGAAATAACTGCATCTACAGGAGAAACATATGTTCTAGTAAATGAATGTTATGTATGTTTTGAGAATAAATTATTTAATAATGGAACTATTTTTAGAGGCGTTAACATATGAAGATTAACGGGAACAGGGGATATTCTCGATTCTACAATGATAGTAATAGTATGGGTATTGATAATATTGATAATATACGATGGTATAAATAATGATGATAGTAATAATTACAATGATAGTAATGGTAATAATGATGGCAGTCACACACACACACACACACATATATATATCTACATATATTCTCTGTGTATATAATTAGAAAATACCATCAATGAAACAAATACAGACAAACAGGCCAGCAGCATTTTTAACAAAGGAAACCACCAAATCACTAGCCTCCTCACATGTACCATCATAAGAGGGTGTGGCTTTTACGGACTTAAAGCACAAATCCCTCACTACTTCCCCGTTTTACTAAATGCATTTAAACGAAATAAATAATACGACTATCTAGAATATCTCTTTTTTTCTAAACCTTTTATTAAACACTATTCACATCAGAGTGAATACATGCATATGTATTTGTATGTGAGTATTTATAAATCTATAAATAAATCATCCTGTTAAACACTATTACCATAAGGCTGAATAGATATATGAGCATATCTGTGTGTGAGCGCGCCCCTATATAAATAAAGAAATAAATATACATACATATATATACGTATGTATGTATATGTGTGTGTGCGTGTGCTTGATATACATACACGCACGCACGCATGTACAGACATACATACGCACACACTCGCACACACACACGTGTGTATATACGCATAAATATGTATATACACATATACATACATATTTATATATGTATGTACT